TCTGTACTACAATGGCAGAACTGAGTGGCTTCAACAGCCCTCTTATAGCCCCCAAAGCCAAAAATATTTACTATCTGTCCCTTTACAGAGAAAATGTTCCAACCCTGGTCTAGAATCTGGAATACAGCAACTAATTAAAAGCTAAAAGATTAATACATGGATTTTTCCTTTCTTAAACCATCGTTAACTTGATAGATTTTCAGACAGTTTTTCAAAAGCAATTGTCTAAATTTGTAAACATTAAAAACCGTTTAAGGCAATTCCTTCCCACACTCCCATTCTCATATCACTACATTTCCACTTACCAGAGAAATTACCAAAGAAATCACTTTACACATTACTACTAATACCACTATTGATATTTAACAGTAAAAAAAAAAAAAAAAAAATGTGAAAAAGCATCCTTACCACAAACATATATTTACTTGAACAAGTATAAAATAAGAGCTGAAATCAATGGTAAAATTAAAACGCCAAAAGGAACAGAAAAGTAAGTCACACCCAAAATCATTAATCCTCTAAGCTAACTCATCACCTTTGGGGAAAAAGAAAGGTTGACATAAATTAAAATATTTGAAGTTACTGCAGGATACAAAGTGGGAAAAATGCAATTATGTTACAAGAAAGAAATTAAAGTCGGGGGGAAGCAGAATATGATTAAACTACATACAAGTAGATAACAGAAGTAAAACAAGAGAGATAAGACACAATAATAAATATAACAAGCAGAATAAACAGGGTAGAGGGCACTGATGGGAAGTGTAAAGCCAAGGAAAGGTATGAGTACAATACAATAGCTCCCTTTACCCACAGTTTTGCTTTCCACAGTTTTAGTTACCTGTGATCAATCACAATTCGAAAATATTAAATGGAAAAGTTCCAGAAATAAACAATTCATAAGTTTTAAATTGTGCATAGTTCTGAGTAGTGTGATGAAATCTTGTGCTATCCTGCTCATCCTGCCTGGGATATGAATCATCCCTTTGTCCAGCTTATCCAGGCTGTATACACTGCCCACCTGTTAGTCACTTAGCAGTCATCTCGGTTATCAGGTCAACTGTAGCAGTTTCTCAGTGCTTGTTCTCAAGTAACCCTTATTTTACATAATAATTGCCAAAGCGCACAAGTAATGATAATGCCAATCTGGGTATGCCAAAGAGAAGCCTTCACCTGCTTCCTTTAAGGGAAAAGGTTAAAAGTTCTTTAGTAAGGGCCGAGCCCGTGGCACACTCGGGAGAGTGCAGCGCTGGGAGTGCAGCAGCGCTCCCGCCGTGGGTTCGGATCCTATATAGGGATGACCAGTGCGCTCACAGCGCTCACTGGCTGAGCGCGGTGCGGCCGGTCTCAAAAAGGACAAATATATATATATGAGTTCTTTAATAAAAAAGAAAAGAAAAAAGTCATATGCTGAGGTTACTAAGATCTATGGTCAGAACAAATTTTCTATCCATGAAATTATGAAGAAGGAAAAATAAATTTGTGTTATTTTTGCTATCATACTTCAAACTGCAAAAGTTATAACCACAGTGTGTGATAAGTGCTTAGTTAAGATAGAAAAGGCATTAAATTTGTGGGTGGAAGACATAACCAAAAAACCTATTCTGATTGACAGCAACTTGTTGCACCAGAAGCATTGAGTCCACACAAAGACTTCACAAGGGATTCCCTGAATCAAGTAACATCAAGCCATTTACTTCAAGGAAGCAATGGTTACGTAGACTTAGAAATAGGTTTGAACTGAAAAATATAAAAATTACATGAGAGACTACGTTGGCCATGAAGAAGCTGCTGCCACATGAGTATAGTATAGTGATATTTTGAGAGAGAGAGGAGAGACCATATGGGAATAACTTTTATGAAAATACATTGTTACAATTGCTCTATTGTATTATTACTGTTGTCAATCTCTTACTGTGCCTAATTTATAAATTAAAATTTATCATAGGTATTTATGTATAGGAAAAAACACATACAGGGTTTGGTACTATCCGTGGATTCAGGTATCCAGTGGGGGTCTTGAAATATATCCCTTACAGATAAAGGGGGTCTGTGTGATGAAAAGGAAAAGATAACTTCTTAAATTACTCTTTCTCTTGCCTTTCCTCCCCAAAAGGTCTTGTTTGATCTTGAGAAAAAATTCTTAGAAAATATTCCAAGATTTCATTAGGTATTTATGAAGAATCTGCTGCACAGATACATGATACGTGGAATATTAGAGGAGCAAAAAACCCAGAAACTGTATTTGGACAACTTACATCCCTTGAAAGGGGAGGTAAACCTACAAAAATATTAAATTATTAAGAAAATTACAAAGCAAAACACAAACCAGATGATAATTCTGTCACCAGAAAGAAAGGAAGACAAAGGAATTCATATTCCTACTTAAGAAGAAGGATTGTAGCTTGGAGCTTAACACTTTATATTTCAAATGAAGAGTGTGAAATATAAGAAGGTGAAATTGAAAAAGGAATCAAGTAGGGATCAGTGAAAATACAGTCAAGTAGCATTAATGAATTTATGATTTAGCAAAATCATAAATCCATCCTACCTAGAATAATTATGCTATTTTTGATAGTAATCCAACATCAAAGATAAGAAGCAGTTGGACAGACTGAAATACAGAAACTGTCAAAGCTGATGAAACAAAAAGTCAAAGTGGTTAAATACACTGCAATAATATAGAAATAGATAAAAACAAGTGAAGGGGAAAAATAAGGAAACCAGAAAACGAGACTCAGGGTAAAGTTATCAAAAAATGTAATGAAATTTCTCTAAACACAAGTTATGGATTTATCTGTGAGCTTCCTGATAGCCAAAGCAAAGTGAAAAATACTATCATTTTATAATTCACCAAGTTTGTATGGAGATTAAATATAGTTGGTTAAGAAAAGCACATGCATAAAAATACTGACTCTTTGAAGGACATGTACTAATTAAAACCACGTTGCTAATTGGCTAAATATTTTTATTATTCTTTTTTGTAGGAGAGATTGCTTTCCAAGACGTAGAAGAAAACTCTTTATTATCTCATTACTTTAGAGTCACATCTTAGTTTTAAAATAAAATCATACTCAAGGATTACCCATAATACACACCAGACTCATCTTTAAATTACATTTGATGGTTTCCAACACCCGAATTCAACTTCAAAGCTTGCAAATATGCCATAATAAAGGATATTCAAAAAACAAGGGACAGATTTTAAACACAATTTTCAAAGAAGTATTCAGAAATACTTTGAGCAATGTTGATATCATAAGAAGACCCATACAAGCTTTTAAGGTGAATATTTGAGTGAGATAAATGCTTGTTAAAATGGTTTTCATTTTTTANAAAACACATACAGGGTTTGGTACTATCCGTGGATTCAGGTATCCAGTGGGGGTCTTGAAATGTATCCCTTACAGATAAAGGGGGTCTGTGTGATGAAAAGGAAAAGATAACTTCTTAAATTACTCTTTCTCTTGCCTTCCCTCCCCAAAAGGTCTTGTTTGATCTTGAGAAAAAATTCTTAGAAAATATTCCAAGATTTCATTAGGTATTTATGAAGAATCTGCTGCACAGATACATGATACGTGGAATATTAGAGGAGCAAAAAACCCAGAAACTGTATTTGGACAACTTACATCCCTTGAAAGGGGAGGTAAACCTACAAAAATATTAAATTATTAAGAAAATTACAAAGCAAAACACAAACCAGATGATAATTCTGTCACCAGAAAGAAAGGAAGACAAAGGAATTCATATTCCTACTTAAGAAGAAGGATTGTAGCTTGGAGCTTAACACTTTATATTTCAAATGAAGAGTGTGAAATATAAGAAGGTGAAATTGAAAAAGGAATCAAGTAGGGATGAGTGAAAATACAGTCAAGTAGCATTAATGAATTTATGATTTAGCAAAATCATAAATCCATCCTACCTAGAATAATTATGCTATTTTTGATAGTAATCCAACATCAAAGATAAGAAGCAGTTGGACAGACTGAAATACAGAAACTGTCAAAGCTGATGAAACAAAAAGTCAAAGTGGTTAAATCTTTCCAGTATATTACTACAGGTGAAAATAAAATTATTGATAACACATTCCTGTCTGTAGAAAGGAAAATGAAGCCAGGAGGAAGCTGCTAAATTAGCAAAAGAGGCAAAAATCGAGAGATTAGTCTAATTACAGTAAAAAATATATATATATATGAGTATTCAAGAGGCATATGAATTAGAGGAATGTATTGAGGAAGCTGCTAAATTAGCAAAAGAGGCAAAAATCGAGAGATTAGTCTAATTACAGTAAAATATATATATATATATGAGTATTCAAGAGGCATATGAATTAGAGGAATGTATCTGTGCTATTCCACTGATGCATTCTCGTGATTGGATAGCTACATCTACCATTCCTGATAATGGCAGAATTAAAAGATGAAATCTAAATACATTTTCTATTCTTAAAACACAGAAAAAGAACTCTCCTAACAAATTACCATCATATAATGGTACAGAACAAAATCCATGACAAACCTGGAGTCTCACCAAGTTGAGGTCGTCATTATTTCAAGATTCCAAAAAGAAATATTCAAAGGATTTAGAAATTACAAAAATACCTAAACCATTCCTTAAATACTACACAAATACCCACAGTGAAATCTACATAAGAAGACAATGATACGTTTCTGCCTTCAGTAGGTCACACAAAGGCATTAGTATTAAACAGACTAGCTGATACCAGAACATAGAATTCCCAGTTCAACCAGACTTGTTTGACTCAGTTCAAATAGAATTAGTTGTATCATATCAACAAAGTAGGACTGGCATGAACTTACAAGGAAATTGCCTCCTTATATGGACCTATTATTCATTAAATTGAGACTTTGTTTATAAAATTATTTTCTAGCCTAATAAATAGATTAGGAAAGAAAACAGCTCAGGCTTCATTTGTCTCCACATATTTTAACAATTTGCGTGCCTTTTTGCAAAAAGCTACTTGGTAAAACTTAAGTACTTACTAATATCATCTTCATGATAAATGACAGAGTGAAATGGTAGAGTTCGGTCTTTAATGTATCTTTCTGCTGGCTCAACATAAAATGTGCCACCACGAGTCTGGATGAATCCTTCAAATCTTCCATCAATAACAGACCCATGGCTAAAACTTCCTTCTTCACCTATTAATGAAAGCAACAAATTCTTGAAATTTTTTTGCATATGAAATGTTAAATTCATTCTCCTTTAAAAAGCCATTCTTACATATATATTTTAAATCCTGAATACAAATTTACTGGGGAAATTAGTTTTCATATAAAATATATCAAGCTGTATTTGAGATGTGAACAGCAACAAGTATTTAGTTAAAACATATGTAATTACTAACGACAATAATGAAAAATAGAATATCTATCTTGTTGGCAATCATATTCCTAGCACCTAGCACAGTGCCTGGTATGCATGCAGTAGTCTTTAAGTAAGTAATCATTAAATTAACTTAAAATTAGAAAGAGGCATGCAGATCCGCTGATAAAATATACACTTTCAGAATAAAGATATTCAATACATGTTTTGAATATTTTGCTTTAATTAACCTAAGGAAAAATGCTCCCTTCCCACCTGATAAGTTATGTATGAGTCTTTTGGATTCATTGCCACATTTAGGTTTTATTAATAAATTTTTAAATAGGAGCGTGTCGAGTATTTCAGAAGCAATTTGAACAAAAGTATACCAACAATCCTTTTTAAGATATTGGACAAAGATTTGTATGTAAATATGTACTGTCAATTATACTTCTTTAGTGAAAGAAAATAACAGTAAAAAGGGTACTTTTGATTCTTAATATATTCACAACAATAAGCTAAGCACCGAAAGCAAATGCCAGTAAGGGGTAAGGGGAGGGGCTTTAAAAGTTAAATTTATCTGTCAAAATTCTCTCATTAAAATAAAAATCAGGCGTTCCACAATTTCTATGTTGTAGATTAACATTAATTAGTTGGCTTTGAATTAATCATAGACTGAAGCTAAGAACCCAAGACACTGGTATTTTTAACGATATCATTTTTATCTGTAAACTCATTTACAGTCTTGTACTTTCTTGATCATCACCTAGCAAAAATGGGTACAGACTACTAAATCATTTGCCCAAGACAAATGATCAAGAAAATAAAAGAACACTAGTCTGACACTAAAAATCTAGACCGATGGAAAAACACTTTTCTTTGGTTACAGAATTACAAGAGTG